ACACGAACTCATTTTTTTGGTTGATTTTTCTTTGTTAAATGTCATTTAAATATTTAAAATAAATATCAAAAATATAAGTCTTTGTTTTATTATGGTTGCAAAGATCAAAAAATTTCTATATGTGACACGGCACCAGAGTTAAGTTAGGGTTTTTCAAAATGCTGACACGCTGAGCTCAAAAGGTTCACCATCACTGCCCTATAGCAACACAAATGGTCTCAGGTTCATAGGTATTCAACGAATACATTTGGAACAAATGCTTAAGTGAATGAAGGCACATTTAAGGTGATAATGTTGCATTTATTCCAGAGATATTGTCATAGAAGGAAATATTTTATGCTTATGATCCATTTTTTTAAAATATATTTTATTGATTTTTTTACAGAGAGGAAGGGAGAGAGATAGAGAGTTAGAAACATCGATGAGAGAGAAACATCGATCAGCTGCCTCCTGCACATCTCCCACTGGGGATATGCCCGCAACCCAGGTACATGCCCTTGACCGGAATCGAACCCGGGACCCTTCAGTCCGCAGGCCAACGCTCTATCCACTGAGCCACACCGGTTTTGGCTATGATCCATTTTTAAAATAGTGATTTTTTTAAAAGAAAAAAATGATGTCAAAGATACAGAAAAACAAGAACACAGATATTTTGGAAATGTTATCTACACTAATAAAAGAGAAACATGCAAATTGGTGTCACTCCACTACACCCACCAGCCAATCAGATGAGTATGCAAATTAACCCAACAAAGATGGTGGTTAATTTGCATATGCAGGCCCGGAGCAAAGACTGAAGGCTGAAGAGGCGTGGCTTCTCCGCTGCGGCCGGAGTGAGCCAGAGCGAGGGCCTGGGTCCCGGGTGCCCCAGGAAAACCGGTGCCAGCAGCCAGGGGAAGGGAAAGCCTATTGCACGAATCTTTTTGTGCAACGGGCCTCTAGTAGTCTCTATATAACAAAATAAATTGTCAATCTAGTAAATTCTGTTTTCTTGTATAAAGTCACCTTATTCATAAGTAAAATAATTGCTTATAGGAAGGTTTTTTCAATTGAAATTTTGTGTTTTCCCCCCAAACCATTGAACAACTTTTAAACTGCATATGTGAGGCCTAAATTAGTGAAAGAAATTTCAAGCTGAGAGATCCATATTTTAATACCCTATGACAGGATATGCAGTAGGAGAAAATAAATAGAACCAAAGAATTTCCATAGTATTTCTATGGTATTTGCCATCAAAACCTGAACAGTGGTGCACAATGAATTGGCAATAACTCAATATCTAGTGGACTAGAGCAATTAATGCCACAATAAGGGATCCTTGTTGACCTTTGTGGCCACAAGGTCACTCTCATTCTTGAAAGATGAGACAAAGTAATGAGACAAATTTTATAAAATTACAAGACACTCTCATTCTTGAAAGATGGCACAAAGTGGTGAGCTGTATTTTCCTTCCTCTCCTTCTTATTCTCCTTTACACCTTACTGCTCACCTCCCAGTTACTCCCCTTCTGAGTAACCTGATGCCAATTCTCCTCAAATCCATTTTGAAGCTTCCTTCTTGACTCTGATATATAATTTACCAACAAATATATTCATATATAAATGCAAACCCTGGACATAATTGGCTTTTAAAACCCTATTCAGTGTTCACTTTCATTTATACATTTTGCCTGTTATAACCTTCTCAAAGTCTACCTTCCTTCATGAGGGTTATTCACTTCCTATGAATTCATTCCCAAAGACCATCCTAGAATCTTCTTTATCAGCATTTTCAAAACATTTACTGTACGCCAAGTGATGGTGCTGGGGAGGGTGATACTTCCATTTCTCCCAGAGATGTCTCTCATTTTGTTTTCACACTAATCCTCTTAGGTAGGTTCTGTAATTATCTTCATGTTACTAATGAGGAAAGTGAACTCAGATAGACTACGTATATTGTTAAAGGTCCCTCAAACCTTGGTGAAGGTGGGGTCAGGCTCTATGTAAGTCTAAGCTGTAGTTCTTAATAACATACATTGCCTTTCATGAATAATTTCTCCTTGAGTTTAATTCAACCAATGTGGAGCACTTATATAAAACATGTACAAACTTTATAAATATTATGTAAGTAGTCAAAGAAATCTGGCTATCCTGGCAAAATTATCTGGGTATATAATCAGTATTCTTTCACTGATCTACTATTGATAGACAACTCATGAGCTGCCTCTTCTCATTAGTTACAAATGTGCTTTTTAATTGGTCCAAATCTAGGATAAAAGAAAAAATCCATATGCTTTACTAAAGTAGAAGAGTAAAAGACATGAATTTTTAAATATTTTTATTGAGTTCAGAGAGGAAGGAAGAGGGAGAGAGAGAGAGAAAGAAACATCAGTGATGAGAGAGAATCATGGATCGGCTGCCTCCTGCACACCCCACACTGGGGATTGAGCCTGCAACCTAGGCATGTGCCCTGACCAGGAATCATGACCTGCCGGTTCATAGGTCGATGCTCAACCACTGAGCCATGCTGGCCGGGCAAAAGACATGGACTGGGCCAGAAGGATGTGAGGCAACAAGGGCCAGCATGCTGAGAAAGACTGAATTACTTTACTATGTGGGAGCCGAGGCCCTGTTCCATCTGATACATACTTGTTTGCAAGGACCAAAATACATTTTTTTAAATATATTTTATAGATTTTTCACAGAGAGAAAGGGAGAGGGATAGAGAGTTAGAAACATCGATGAGAGAGAAACATCAATCAGCTGCCTCCTGCACACGCCCCACTGGGTATGTGCCCGCAACCACGGTACATGCCCTTGACCGGAATCGAACCTGGGACCTTTGCATCCACAGGCCGACGCTCTATCCATTGAGCCAAACGGGTCAGGGCCCAAAATACATTTTTAAGTGTGAGGTCTGGTGTGTGATACATTTCTTGCCTTGCCTTTTAGATCATCAGTCAATGGTTTGCTACGGTGATAACCTCAAGTTCATGGTTGCCTGGATAGCAGATGGGTTGCAGGATGGGGCCAAGGAGAAGAGACTTTGTCCCCTCTTTTGGTGGCCACCAGAATGGTGTTAAAGGAATGACCACAGGCAACAGAGAAAACACTTTCAATGAGAATAGAAAATAGAACAGTAGTGATCCCTAAATTATACTAGTAATCCCTGAGAGAAATATTGGGGAGAGCTTGAATCAATTTATCAGAAAAGAATGGGGAACTCTAGGAGATACCTTGAGTACACCATAAAAACTCAACCATCTAACACTTTTTTGGGTAAAGAACAATGTTATGTTTGCTAGAACAGGGAACAGATAATGACATAGTTGCTTCTTGAAGGTAAATCTGAATATATCAGCATGTGCAGTCAACTTATTTGCTGACTTAAAAACAGTGTGATGAAATTTTTTGCCTGTAAACCTATTATTGCCCGTAATGAAAGACTCTATACACTCTAATCACAACATTCAACCTTATGTTTGATCATAGCTTCTAAAAATTCATGATACAGGGATTTTTCGTTATACTCGACACATTTTTCCTTCAGAGGCCTGATTGGTTGTTCCAGACGCTGTGAATGATATAAATTGAGCTCTCAGTTGGAAGAAATCTATAGGATCAATCTTCCCTGAACTTCAGACAGAAACCTGCTCTGAATACAAATACCCAAAGGTATGTGAATTTCATTCACTATTTGGTATTATTTCCATTGTGATTATTTCTTTTTCTACATTTCATGTCTAAAAGCTATAATGGAGTATGCATTTCTAATACTTTATGCTGTTAACATTCAGTTATGTCTTCAGTTGGACCATAATTAAGTGAGACTCTGATTATTAAATGAAGTATGTTACTTCGTAATGCAGCAAAGTATCTATATTTCTTTAAATTTTAGTTCCAAAATCTTAATGCACTTTTGGGGGCCAAATTTCAAAGAAAATACTTACTTTAATTACTTCTCAGGTAAGATAAAAATAATTTCCACCCTCTGCAACCCACTACTTTAAAAAGCATTTTACTTAATGACATCAAATAGAATCATCAACTAAAAGATTTTTCTCCTTAATTCAAACTTTCAAAAACAGATTTAGGAGCTAGAAAATGTCAGTGTACTTTCCAAAGCCAGCATTCTGACACATGGCATTCACTTCCTGTGCAAAACGGAAGGTCTTCCTTCTGAAAGCTTTAAAAGGTAGTCGATAATGTATACCACCACGCCGATGTGCATGTCTTAGGGTAGCCTGGTGTGCCTCATGTCTCAAGGACTTTATTTGTGGGATAAGTCCAGTGCAGTGTCAAACAAAGGGAAGATGTCATTGATTAAATATGGAATCTTTTAAGTAGATGGCATTCGAAATTCATGGAATAATCACAGAATTCGAGTGCAATCCTTAGCCACATCTTTTGCTGCACACCTGGACTCAGAGATGTTACCTGAGGGTCTTGCCTGAAGTCCTACTGGGGGGAACACCCAGAACCAAATTCCACTCCTTCCTTATTCTGTTGGCAAGTTGCTTAATGTCTTTTCTTAACGATGAGGCTTTGTTTTTTAACAGCAGAGATGCTCAGGCAAACTGCACAAAAACACATTTCTCTACCTCCTGGTTCTAAAAGTACCAGATACTGTGTATCTTGACGCTCTTCTCAATTTTAGAGTCAACTCAATTCTTTTCATCATTCATTATAAGCTACACTTAGCTTCTATGACTCTAAAGCTTAGGGGGGTAGGGAAATGGCATGCAAAATACTGCAGTGATAGATTATCCATGTCCCTGCAACGTGTTCAGCTCTCAGTCTAAAGGAAAAGCATCTTTCTCACTATTGGGACTCTAGAAATGACAAAATGGGCCGAGGACTGGAAATCATACATGAATGAAGTAACCTCAAAAAGAACTGTCTTATCCTTCCCACTAACAATAGATCAACATGGATTAGGTGGGTTTTATGGGGCTTTCATGATGTCCATATGTGAGAAGAGATAAGAGAGTGTGTGTTGACATGTTTCAGGATCATCAAGAAATGGGGACCTGGATTCTGTTTGCCTGCCTTTTGGGAGCAGCCTTTGCTATGCCCGTGAGTAAAACTACCCCAATGCGTACGTCAATGTCCAATTGCACAAGCTTGGGAAGAAAACTGCCCCCTAGTTGGTAAACTCTGGGGTTTAGAACAGTATTAAGATAAGATGTCCTCAAACAGTTTTGTGATTAAGAAATACTTTGAAGGGCTTGTTTTTTAAAAAATAGATTCTCAGATGTCTCCACCAAAGATTCTGATTGAGTACAGCCGAGATTGGGCCCAGGACTCTGCACTTGAATAAGCACCGAGGAGATTCTGATGAAACAATATGCTTGTAAAGATCATGCTTGTAAAGTTTCCTCATCTCTAGATGGAGGAAACTTCTGGAAGGGACCCTTGAAAGGCCTCCAGAGAAAGTGCCTAAGTCAGCCTGAGGCAAATTAAAAAACACCAGTTTTCTCTAAAACCTAACCTCTCGCAAGTGTCCAAATCTCTTTCTGCTCTCCCCACCCCTGTGCTGTATCCTTCAGGGGTACAGTTTCTGTGATAGGAACTCCCTTCTTGAACCATCTTCCTGTTCTCAGAGGCCTCATCCCTTTGGGGGCTCCTGCTAAGCGCATGACTTCTGGGTGGAATCCTCCCGACGCCCACTACATATGGATATATTTTACATTCAAAGGTATCAAGGCCCAGGAAGGTTGACCCATTCTCCCTGGACATGGGTACAAAAGCTCCAAGAGCCTAAATCACATGAAGGCACAGTAGGATCCATCTGCTTCTCAGCGGCAGAGAGAGCAGTTGATACGACCAGAAGCCAGCAAAGCTTGCATATCTGCCTCCTCTCCCCTCTCACACACAAGTCCAAGGTTCTGCACTCTGCCTTCTTGAAATCCTACGTTGTGGCCATTCCTAGTGCCCCTAGGAGCCTCTGCATTACAAACTCAGCCCCCTTCCCCTCCTCAACTCAACACCCTTACCCTCTGAGGGCTCACATCAAGAAGGTATAGAAAAGGCAGTTACATGACTCAAAGAATTCACACTCTGATGAGAGCAAATGAACCCTCTTAGGAAATCTGAGCATTTTAAAAGAACAGAGCCTTAGATAGCTTGATGTCTGAGGAAGACGTTCTGCATGATGCTCTCTCCCCTCCTTCTCACCCATCCCATGGCCGACCAAGCTTCAGAACGCAGGCACCAGTCACTTGGTCTGCACTTTGCACAGGACAACCAGTCCTGGTTTAGCTCATTATTCCAGTTGTTTTTATTTTCCACTTTTAAATGTCTCTGCTACAAAAACATTGATAGAACAATAACAAAAATCAGCTTAAACTTCATCAACCCACCCTTTCTTTTTCCATGGGGATTTATGTTTCCACTTCCCTGCACCCAGCTTGTCCTCAGACTCAGCAATAATGCACTTGTTTGTTCTGTTGTTGTGTTATTTACTTTGCCTGTGAATGATGAGGAATCTCTTTGATGCTTAAGCACTCCCCCACCTCCTGATCTGTGAGGGAAGGTCTGGGAGATGATTCTCGCATTGGTATTTCATGTTGTGGCAGAGAAACATGTCTCTTCCCAACATGGAATGAGTTTCAAGAAGGAAGACGGTGGGTGGGATAGAGTAGGCTTGATTGACAGCATGGATGGCAGGTGTCTGAAGGTCACTGGAGGACAAATGTGTGCTGGTTCCTGCTTCTAGGTCTCCCACCATAAGAATGCAGCTGTGGGGAAAGTCTTTCAACTAAGAGGGCTCCTCTCCCACATAGCATACATGTTCAACGAAAAGCAGACCTCAAATATATTCTGCATTAAGTAGATTTTTTTAAAGTAGCTTCAGTCTCTCTTAATGTGAACGATTGCATATTGACTTAATCTCTTCCTCTCTCTCTTCCTCTTCTCTCCCTCTCCCCCTTTCATTTTCTTCTCCTCTCCCCTCCCTATAAAAGCTACCACCTCATCCTGGGCACCCTGGTTATATCAACTTCAGCTATGAGGTAATTTTTCTCTTTACTCATTTTGACCATTGTTTGAGTTAACCATGTCCTGGGATCTGTAAAGAAGAGTGTGTTGATTCTTCATTCAAGATGTTTCTCAGTCCCACCTTGATAGCTCCCCCTACTGCTTCCTGGTTTAAGCTCTGGTGAGTCGCTTCGAGCCTGAATTGCCCCAGCACGCTCCTGCCTGGCCTCTCTGCCTCAGTTTCTCCTGCTTTTATGGCATAAAAGTATTCATCATGAGCTGTCACTCGGGGGGACCGCTTGGTAGGGCAGAAAAGAAACTCTGGCCGAGCAGGTTTATTCTATCCTAGCCCCTAAAATGTGGGGAATCGGGTAAGATGTTAGGATCCTTTCCCGTTAGAAAACGCCTGATTCTAAGATGTGCATACCCTCTGCGTATCCCTCACTTGTCTTTACTGAAAGATTCATGACCAAGTAGTCTATGAGACATTCTTCAGAGCAATAAAAAGCTTGAGATTTCTGAAAATGTGGTTAGAGGCTCTCCTCAGCCCCATACTAACCATGTGACCTTGGGCAAGTCATTTTCATTCTCTGGGATTCTGGTTTCCTCATCTGTAGAAGGGAAATAATTACAGTACCCACACTTCAAATTACTGCTTGGGGAGCAAAATAGTCCAGCAACATAAAAGGTGCTTTGTCAAGTATAACTTGAGCAAGATTAATAATTGTTTGTTGTATTGATAGCCAATGCTGTAGCACTATATTAAGGAGTCCTTGTACCTGAGGTTGCCTAGGTATATACTGTTTAGAAAAGGAATGAAACTTCCTTCTTTCATAGGTTTAGATGACACTCTGTGAGTCTATCTATTCATACAGGCTGAGGGAAAATGTGAATAAGAATTTCAGGCAAGATTTTCTGGTCAACCTTACAAGGTTGACATATCTGACCAGAAAAACCTGTGTTTATAGAATGAGGTACATGGTTTCTGCCTCCTTTCCTTTTTCATTGTGACATCAAATCAAAAACTAATGATTAATGTTGTGTCACATTAATTTTTCTGGTTTGTTTTGCTCTTGCAAAGAAGAGCAGGAGCTGAGGGATGAAACAGAATTGCTACATTTGTAACCTCAGCCGAGCTCAGGAACCTCTTTAACTCTCCATGACCTTGTAAGAGTGAGGGTGATGCCAGTCAGTGTGGCTCAGCGGTTGAACATCGACTTATGAACCAGGAGGTCAGGGTTTGATTCCCGGTCAGGGCACATGCCTGGGTTGTGGGCTCGATCCCCAGTGTGGGGTGTGCAGGAGGCAGCCGATCAATGATTCTCTCTCATCATTGATGTTTCTTTCTCTCCCTCTCCATTCCTCTCTAAAATCCATAAAAATATATTTTTAAAAAGAGTGATGGTGATGATACTTGCCTCAGAGTATGTGAGAAAAATGAAAAATGTGTGTGATGGATATAGCATAGTACCTAACACACAAATGTTTACTCTATTCTTTCTTCCATAGAACTCATATTTTTAGGTTATCAATATTGACAGGACTGCATTTTTGAATGTATATTTCATGTAACTATAGTAAAACAAATGTATTTTAATGTCTCTTTCTCTTAAGGTGCTCACCCCTCTGAAGTGGTACCAGAGCATGATAAGGCAGCCGGTATGTAGATATTTTGTTCTTTATTCTCTCAAACCACGAAGTGTGCAGTTCGATTCCCTTTGAAGTGAAACGCCATAGCTCTGCCACATCTGACACTAACAGGAAGTCTAGTTTGTAAAGGTCCTATCTGTGGACACAGTTAGAAATTCTTGCCCAGGAGGAACGAATAAGTATTCAGATTGTCATAAGGACAAAGAAAACATTGCTATTCTCCAGCTGGAAGCCAATGAGCCAATGGTAAACCTGCCTCTTTGTTTCTCACCAGTACACTTCCTATGGTTACGAACCCATGGGTGGATGGCTGCACCACCAAATCATTCCCGTGCTGTCCCAGCAGAACCCCCCGAATCACGCCCTACAGCCTCATCACCACATCCCCGTGGTGCCAGCTCAGCAGCCCGTGGTCCCCCAGCAGCCAATGATGCCAGTTCCTGGCCAACACTCCATGACTCCAACCCAACACCACCAGCCAAACGTCCTTCCGCCCGCCCAGCAGCCCTATCAGCCCCAGCCCGTCCAGCCGCAGCCTCACCAGCCCATCCAGCCCCAGCCACCCGTACACCCCATCCAGCCCCTGCCACCCCAGCCACCTCTGCCTCCGATGTTCCCCATGCAGCCCCTGCCCCCCATGCTTCCTGACCTGCCTCTGGAAGCTTGGCCCGCCACAGACAAGACCAAGCGGGAAGAAGTGGTGAGTATCTCCCGAAGCCACTACAACACCCGTGGGAATGGTGAAGCGAAGCTGGCCCCCGGAGTTCTCAGTTCTCCAACCATCTAGCTTCTTTACGTTCCGTAGCTATAGGTCATGGACTCTATGAGTATAAGCATGTGCTGTAATTTTATATGATCAACAGGTTTATCTACATGGCTTCGTAATGAAGACCATAGTCTTTATGGTGGGTTTAAAAGCTTGAATTCCTACCAGAATCTATAGTACTGAAACCTGTTCACTTTATCTGTTCTCCTTATCTTTCAAGTATTAGACTAGCAGAAATAGGCTAGAAGTGCACTGAATATTTTTTTAAAGGAGGGGATGCAAATATTTAAACAGGGAGGTGGGAAATCTCTTTAAAGACCTGCAGAAGATGACCTGTTTCAAGTGGCTTTTAATGGAACTTGGAGGAAGCTAAACCAGACAGAGGGTCAGGTTCCTTTTTGGTGAGGAGCCAGGATACCCGGGTTCCAATTCTGGCTTTGCTCCCAAAGAGGAGATGGGATTAAACAAGTTATTTCAAATTTATGGGTGTTTTTCCTTCTTCAAAATGAAATAAAAGAACTAAATCAGAGAATTTTCAAGCCTCTGTCCAAGTACAAATACCATAGTTTCCCAGTAAAAATTAGAATCTATTATAATATCTGCCATATGTGTCTTCACAATGATGGAGAATCAGGGGCAGAATTTTTGAAAATTGATTGCATCACAAATGCTCTGGTGCGTATATTTGATTATTCTAGTCTAAGGCACATGTTACTTCTTTGTATAGAAAATACATTTATCTATCTCTTTGTTAATAACTAAGGCCATGAACTTCATAATGTGTTCATACCCTGCCAGAGCTATGCATACAGAGGTGCCTTCGAATAGGGAGCTTCAACTTCTGAAAACTCCTGTGTGAAAATAGAGTATAAATATTGATAGTTTCATAGGCTTGTTTTATGGCAGGTAAAGTGGTGAGGTCAGATCCTGGCACACAGGAAGGGCTCAATAAAGATAGCAATTGTTCTTTTCTAATTAAATAATAGTTTTAAGTATCCTGAAGGCAGAAGCCTCTATCCTGGCTACCTCATTTCTAATGTCAAGGAGCTAACAAAGAAACTTTGACAATTATAGAGCCAAACTTCAATGGTTGTACATTGTTTTGGCAAAACTGAAGCCCTACGTTTGTAAATGATACTTACTAAGAATAATTGTAAACGATTTTAATTGTTCCTTTTGCTATTTTTTTTCAGGATTAAAAGATCAGAAAAAGAGAAGATAACTGAAGGAAATACTTCAGTTACTTTTAGAATGACAATGATTTGCGCCTAGCATCACTTTCCTTAGCAAATTCTATAACTAAAAATGAGTTCCATTAGCAAACAATAAAAATGTTTTAAAAATAATTCATGTCTTTGTGTTGAATTCAATTTAAAATTTCACATCACTTGAGAGAACAATTTATAATGGCTATTCTTTATTTGAAATATATTTTTATTGATGTCAGAGATGAAGGGAAAGGGAGAGAGAGAGAAACATCAATGATGAGAGAGAATCATTGATTGGCTGCCTCCTGCACGCCCCTACTGGGGATTGAGCCCGCAATACAGGCACGTGCCCTTGACCAGAATTGAACCCAGGACCCTTCAGTTCTCAGACTGGCGCTCTATCCACTGAGCCACACCAGCTAGGGCAATAATGGCTATTCTCAAATAAGGCAGGAACTTCTCATTTATACCTACAAAATGACCATTCTTCAGGCAAATGAGTACTATATTTCTTTTTGGAAAAACTTTAAAATATACTATCTCAAATATTTTTAAAAACAGGAGTTTATATATTAGTTATAATAGCTGAGAAAGTGAAAAATGATAAACATGTACTATCACTGAACCTGAACCAAATGAAGGGAAGTTTATATGAAGAATTCTTTACATTGAAAAAGATAAGCTCTTGCACAATGCTTACATTACAAAACAAATTAAGACTTGGAACACTGGCTCTGTAACTCACACCACATTAGTAAATAAAATCTGGTCTTTTGATCTCATTTTACTGTAAAAGATTTTTAAAATGAAATTATGTGATAGGGATAATAATGTACTGAATTTTGAATCAGTGAGGTAATTAGTTTTTCTAAGAAAACTTTTATTGAATGGAGCTTCCAATAATCACAGTAATTTTATATATTTAATTTCTTTCACTTTCTAATCTTTATGATGATAAGTTCTGCTGTATAGTCTTCAATAGGTTAACAGATTTATAAAATGGACTCAATACAAGATTGCTTTCCCACTCATATTTATATTTGAATCCTTTTTTCCTCCTACACCCACACAAAACTGTAAACACTGTTTTCAGGGCTTGTATTACACAGCACCCACAGTAACTTTATTCCAGTACTTTTCTGAGTAAGGCCTCTTCATCATTTTCTGGAATGAAGAAAAGTAACTTTACTAGGAGGGTGTCAATATTCAAACAAATAACTTGATTTTAAAGAATTTCGATTCAATCGAAAAAGTAAGAAAGCTTCTAATTAATTGGGATGGGGCAATTCTAATCAATTTAGTAATATTTATTAATCACCCTCTAGGACAAGACACTCTTCCATGTCTTAGTGGATATAGTAAGTCCCCATCCTTAAGTAATCGAGAATATACCAAAGGCATAAAATAAGCTCACAAATAATAAGAGAAGGCCTTACAGCAGTAACACTGACAGAAGTTAGTCAGAATGCTCTGGTGAATATCACAGGCATCATTAGCGAGCTGTCCAAGAGCTTTCCTCACCACTCATCCCCTGTTGGCAGAGCCAGGATTAATCTGAGCATCTCCCTCCCACGAGCTCGGGAGACATGAGCCTCCTCCCCTGTCCCAGGGAATGAATGTTCACTCCTCCATGTCAATTATGGCACCCGTTGCCATAACATACCATATCCGTACCCAATATGGCATCTATTCCCCTTGCCAGTGATTGGTTAAGGATAGCTGTGGTGGAACCTGAACACTGAATGAAGCCAAAAAGGAAGTCTGCTAGGAGGAGCTTCTGGAAAAAAAGATTACCCTTTCATTACACACACACACACACACACACACACACACACACACACGGAAAAAGTCTTCTGTCTTTGGCTCTATTTCTTTGAGGATGTGATATGTGGAACTGTGTCTGCCATTTTGTGACAAGGAGGGGCAAGTAGAAAGATGGAAAGTCCCTCAGTCCTTGGTGGCATCATTGTGTCCCTAAATTCACCAAACTCTGGAACCACCTACCTCTAGGTGGATGACACACTCTATTTCGATGCTAGTGTTTTTCAATCATGGGTCGTAACTGATTCACAAATAATATCACACCAGGCCCCCATCATTTATGTCATTATAGCAAATTGTCTCTTCCAACGATGCTAAGCTTACATGGCCAGGACTAAGGAGAATTATTTGAATGTCATCAAAAGTCAATGACTTTCCTGAAAAAAATCGGATAAATGGAGAAAATATATTTATATTTATCCTAGCATATTCTTCAAAATATATGCCCCCACACATACTTTGTCTTCCACAGCTCATGAAAATATTATCATTATATTTATTCCCAATGAGAAAAACTTTAAAGGTGTAAGTGATGATGTCATTTGGAGACTGTGTGACACCGGAAAGAACACCAAGTTTGGAGTCAGACTGGATTGCTTTCAATTCTTCTGATCGAAGAGGATTCTCTGTTTGGGAAAGTATTTGAGAAAATAATTCTCCCTCTATAAGAATTCAAACTATATATATGTGCGTATATACACATATTCGAGTCACATTCTAAATTACAGGGAAAAAGTCAGGCTTTGGACTCCCTAGACTAGCCAGTATGGAATGAGATGTACTGCACAGGATAATTTTAACAAGAAACTGAAATGTGTGTATTCAATGTCCAAACATGTGCTTTAATATCATCATTCGCATGGTGGTCTTTTATGATCACGTTATCCTACCACATTCAACGATGTATGTGAATCACAACATAGCATGTCTTTGATGGTCCCGAGTGAGGCTTATAAACATTCATCAGTGAGGTGTGTGGCCCTGGAAATGCAAAGGTAATAAGGCTGGTCTGCTTCTCACATCGCCCGGTATTACTCCCTCTTTCTACCTATCCATTCTGCTCTTGGCTATCACTTCTTCTTCCTGTTTTTTGGTTAATGTGTATTGACATCTTCTAATATGTAGCTTTTTCCTATATACATTCTCTCTGACAAAATAAAGGACACTGGCCTGGGGATTGTTATTCTCGAAGGTCCACAGTCACTCTGAGTGTGCCAGATGGCCACAACTGACAAAATTCTGACATGTAGATGTAACCACATGCGTCACATAGCTGATGTAAGTTGAATAAAACTGAACGCTTCTAGTTCATTAAGACTCAGGATCAGTGAGCTCTATATATTTGAATCAAATATGGAAAAAAGCACTAGATACTTTTAATGACCAAGACTCAAAATCCAGGCTGAAATAAATAGCAATACAGATCATAAATGCATTTATAAACCCAGACTTAAATCTAAAGAATTCTTAAATTAATAACAAAGCAAAAATAGATTATTTACAGAGCTGTGCTATGTCTTTGAAATTAAGTTAAGAGAGAGATGAAGTTAAGTAAATCACCTCAAGGAAAAACTCATCTCACTAAAACCACTTCCATGTCATTAATAAATTTGAAATCTCTACACTCATTCACTCTTTGCTGGTGAGAGCTTTCATATGCATAATTTTTTCCAGAGGGCAAATACATGTCTAGGAATTACCCTGAGAGAGTCATTGAAATGCAAGGAAAGATATGTGCAAAGATGTTGATTACAGCATTATCTATATCAGTGAGAAATTAGATCTCACTTAATTTTACTATATCTATCTGAAGGAATACTGAAATCAGAAGTATGCTTTAGAAGAAAATTTATTAGGAGAGAAAATGCGACAAACTAAAATTTAAGACCAAAACTGTGGATCATTTGTGACTATTACACATGAGCATAACATGTAAATAATTGATACACACACACAAATGTGTATAGACAAAAACTAGGATGGAGATGCACT